TGCTTCCATAGTAAAAGGATTCTGAGCCTGGCCACCTGCGCTGAGCGTGTATGAGAATGTGAGGGGGGGTGTATGAGGTATATACGCGTGTGAGGTGTAGGAGCATAAAGATGTGTGGGAATAGGTGTGCATGTGGGTGTGACATGAATATGTAAGTGTGTAAAAGTGTGAGGTATGTGTATTTGAAGTGTGTAAGAGTCTGCCTCACACAAGCATGAATGTGAGGCAAGTGTGAAGTGTGTGGGCACAAAAGAGTACTTAAGTGTAAATATGAGTGTGCATGTAAGGTGTCTGCATTACAGCATGGGGTACATGGGTGTGAGATAGTATGCACACGTGTGAGGTGTCTTACAGGGTGTGTGAGCACAAGAATGTGAGAAAGGGAAGTGGTGTGTGTGTGTGTGTGTGTTGAGGCGGGCTGACCCAGAGCACGCTGGGAGGGGTTGCAGGAAGCTCCCTGGGTGTGAAATACCAACTGCACGTGATTTGCAAAGAGCTCGCTTGCACTTAAGGGGAACCCGTTGGCCTATGGGCTGCAGACCGTGGTTTCTCGGTGCCCTGCTTCCTGCCATTGGCAACATAAGCTCTGGAGGTTTTGTGAACCAGACACTCATCTGCCTGGGGAGCTCAAGTGAGCTGGAATATTTGGAAAAGGAGCCCATAGTTTAAACCATTAAAACGCAGGGCTAATAAGAAAAAAACAGATCCTACCATTCGCAACAACATGGATGGAGCTAGAGGGTATTATGCTCAGTGAAATAAGCCAGGTGGAGAAGGACAAGTACCAAATGATTTCACTCATATGTGGAGTATAAGAACAAAGGAAAACTGAAGGAACAAAACAGCAGCAGAATCACAGAACCCAAGAATGGACTAATAGCTACCAAAGGGAAAGGGACTGGAGATGATGGGTGGGAAGGGAGGGACAAGGGTGGGGAAAAAGAAAGAGGGCCTTACGATTAGCATGTATAGTGTGTGGGGGGCACAGGGAGGACTGTGCAACCCAGAGAAGACAAGTATTGATTTTACAGCATCTTACTACGCAGATGGACAGTGACTGTGAAGGGGTATGTGGGGGGGACTTGGTGAAGGGGGGACCCTAGTAAACATAATGTTCTTTCTGTAATTGTAGATTAATGATACCAAAACAAAACAAAACAAAACAAAAAACCGCAGGGCTATGTCATGAAGGAGAAGGCAGACTCTCCATGAATTTAACACAGGACACTCGACAGGCATTTGCCCTCCCGACTGGCTGGCCTGCGACCCTTTCTTCAGAGACCCCCTCTTTCTCCTGTCCCTCCCTGTGCCGAGGCTGCGGAGGGGTGAGGTCTGAGAGGCATGGCCAGACCAAGTGCATCAGACTTACATCGACCTTCCCCCAAACCCCTCTTCTTGAGGCATTAACCCACTATTCCAAGTCTGCATACACCCCAACTTGCCTCTAGTCTCTTCACACCACTCCCCACTCCTGTGTGCACCTGGCCCCCAGATCTCCTGTCCCTTGAGGCCTGGTTACAAGAGCAGGCTTCTCCGGGAAGCCTCCCCACGTAGACTCTTGCTCTTCCCGCCCTGCTCCTCCGTCCGTTAGATGGTGGTGTGAGTTCAGCTGTGTTCCCCCGAAAGCTATGGTGGCATCTTAAGCCATTGTCTGTGAATGTGACTTTTTTTGGAAATAGGATCTTTGCAGCTATAATCAAGTTAGGATGAGGTCATGCTGGATTAGGTGGGCCTAGTCCAGTGACTGGTGTCCTCACAAGACAAGAGAAATGTGGACACAGACACACAGGTGAGAAAGCCACGTGAAGACAGGGAGAGGCTGGAGTCACGGTGCCACAAACCGAGGAACATCACGTTTTGCTAGGAGCTGCCAGGAGCCAGGCAAGGAGGGGACACAGGCTGAGGGTGGCCCCTTGATTTCTAGAATTGTGAATATATTTCTGTTGCTTTAAGCCACCAGTTGGCAGTAGTTTGTTACAGAAGCCTTAGGAAAAGAACACAGATGGAAACTTGTATCTGCCTCACCTGCCTGGGCCCTCTGGTGGGCCTGTCTCTTCAGCTCTTGCCTGGGTCCTGCCTCCTGCCATCACTTCTCAGCCGTTTAATTCTGGTTTAAAGCTCCTGCCTTTCCAACTGTTTGCTTTCACTAGACAGGCCCGGTTCTCTCCAGACGGAGGCTTTTGGTCCTGTTCTGGAGCCACCTGGAGGCATGGATGGATGACTGACCATTCCTCTTACCGCAGAGCTCAGAGCAGCCATGGGGGTTTTGCCTGCCTCTGAGCTGGGTTAGAGTTTCCTTCCTATCACTTATTAGCTGTGCTGCCTAGGCCAACCCCAGGGTTTCCAGTTTCTCAGTTCTGTAAGATAGGAGTTGGAAAAGGCCACCTGTACCTCACCTCCCAAGCAGGACCTCCATGGGCCAGAACCCCCAGTGCAAATGTAAGAGTATTAGAAAGAAATTCTGGAGAGGAAGTGGTGGAGGGAGGGAATTGTCTATTTTCTGAGGTCCCAAACCTTCCTGGCACTTTGCCCAGCAGATGGACCTTCCTCAGAGAAAGCCTGGAAAGCTTGGCCTGAGTTTTTTCCAAGGACTCCTACCCCATGTGGGGTTCTTTCTGACCCTAGGTGGTACCTTGGTGACCTCACTTACTTCGTTTTCCTCAGAAGAGGAACTTTGAATATCCCATACTCCAATGGTACAAATCTGACTGTTGACGTTCCTCCACTTAAAATCCTTCATTTGCATCCAATTTCCCACAGCTAAAGTCCAGACTCTTAGCAAGGCACATAAGGCCTGTCTTGATCTGTCCAGCCTATACTTCCAGCCCCATTTCCTTGGGAGCTCTGCTATGTGAGTGCTGTCCCCCCCCAAAAAAGCCAAATCCTTTCTCCCAGTGGGCTTGAAAACACTTCTATGTCTCCTTCAACAACAATGAAAAATAATAATGCGGCCACTCACCTAATACACGTGAATCATTTTACATATAGAAGGTAGCTACATTTTACATGTAGTAGGTACACACAGTAGGTAGCTCACCTCATAGAGAGGCTTTATTTTGCCCATTTAATTAAGAAAACAGACTGAGGAAACATTACCCAAGACCAATTAGCCCAGAACCATCATGATCTGAATGAACCCTTCTCTCCTGCTTCAAAGCCTAGGATCATTCTCTGCTTGGCTTGCCTCCCTCTTCTTTCAAAGTACAGTTTGAGATTTATTTTCTGGAAACCTGCCCTGACATCCTCAGTTCAACTCTGCTCTCTGTACCCGCGAAGGGTGGGGTGCCTCCAGATGGCATTTACCTCATCAAATAGTAACTGCAGATCGAATCTGGAGGGTAGGAATCCCATGTGCCAGACACTTAATAGGTGTTAAACGCAGTGACAGCGGCCGACAGAATCAAAGAGCTAGAGAGGAACTCTCCCGCGATGTAAATTTAGGAATATGCTCATTTCACATTAGGGAGCCCTTCCTAATCTTTCCTTGTTGATCTGCAGACTCATTCTTTGGGAAACCAAGTCTCCAACTTTCCAGGTTTGACATTCTGAGCCCCTTCCCTAGGGCAGTGCAGCTGACTTTCCTGCCTTTCCCACGTGCTGTTTCCTTTGACGCAATGCAATGGCTGTGGTCACGGGTTTTGAAACCGGATCCGGTTCAGTCACTTATGAGCTCGTGACCTTGCCCAAGAAGACAACCCCTTAGTCTTCTTGCCCACCAATGAGATGCTATCTAACTCACGGAGTTCACCTGGGGGTTGGGACAGGTGCTTCGCCGCCGTGGGAGATGCCGTCACAGCTGCTCTTGCTGCACAGACTGGGAAATGAGGACAAGGAAAGGGAGGAACCTAGAGGGATGGGGAAAAGAAAACCCAAGGGGGGAAGGGAATGAGGCCCAGGGCCAGGACAGACCCGCGTCCCACCCGGCCCCAGATCGGAGCTGGCTCCACGGCATTGCAAGTGCGGACCATGTGCTTCACCACTCATGTCCCCTCCTTCCCTCACTCCTCAGTGAGGTATCCCAAAGTTTTCCCGCATGGACGTCCAAGAGGTGCATCCTCAGCAGATACCAGCAGACCCAGCCCTGAGTGACCCTCACAGGTTCCAGTGGCAAATCCCCCATACGCATTATCGGGGACAACCTTTTAGGGCGGGCTGTACCCCTAAGGTTCTGACCATTTAAAAACTCCTCAGTTCCATCCAGGGATCTGGTGCCTTTTGGTGTGCTTGGAAAGCCCCACCCCAAACCCCAGGCTTAGCTTCCTCTTGGAAAGGGTGGAGGGACCCTTCTTGGGGAGGGAGAGAGGGGGCAGCACAGAAACAGAATGGGGCGATCAGACAAGGGCTGGACTTTGGGACAGCTTCCCTATCACGCTGCTCTGACCCTCACGTGATCTGCAGCAACTCCAGCCCCTTTTCGGAACAGTTACCTGAGTTAGCTGACCTGAAACCCAGGCGTCCTGAAGCAACAGGGAGGCCTCTCTGCAGCCTGCTCACCAGGGGGCGCCCGTGGCCACAGGATGGGTGGGCAGGCAGGGCCCTGCAGCAGGAGGCAGCCTCCCCCAGAACCTGAGGACAGGGAGGGTCCAGGTGCCCAGAGAAAGGGAAAAACCCTCAAAGACCCAGGTGCTACTTGCCCACGAAGGTCCAGCAAGGTGTCATCTTCTCTTGATCCCAGATCCCCATCAGCCCCCCTCCTTTGTTTCTGCCCCTTGAGAGCTAATTACACCAGTGCCCCGTGCACAGGAAGGCTGTCTCCTCCACCACCCCTCCAGGGCAGGTATTTTTTTTTCAACTTTGCATCCCTGATGGTAGCAGTGCTTTTAAAAAGAACTAGGAATCAGAAAGAGAAGTCCTATGTAAGTGAAAAAGAGGCACATCTTTCCAGTGCTTGAACCAGTGAGAAATCCCCGTTCAACTTTGGGCAAGACAGAAATGAGCTTAAGCCGAATGAATTGAGGCCAGACACGAACGGTTCGCACCCTAATAAAGAGGTCAGCTAGTGAGCACAGCCTTTTCTTAACACATGCATGGAGTGTTAACACTTAAGAGAAGGAAGAGACACTGTCATCTAGGAGTGACTGGTGCTGGGGTGGTGGCTTGAAGATGGAACCTCCTCAGAGGTAACAGCCAAGAATAGGTGGCCACATGGGACTCTGTTTAGCCTGAGGATATCAGAGGGACTCTTTCATAGGGTCCGCTCAACCCATCAAGACACACATCCACCCCCTGCACCAGAGTGCCCGAGAAGATAGGAATGTAGATTTTAATCACTGAGTTGCCGCTGTTGTCCCAAGTGCAATTAGTCCATCCTTTGTGGATTTTGATGCCACAGTGTGAATCAGGCTTCAGACAAACACTCTGGAGCTGTGGGTGACCAAAGGGCCAGCCCTCTGGTAGAGAGGGGGGGCAGAAAGAGAAATAGAGTGAGGAGCCTGCTCCTTCCCATCAAGAACCCTGAGAGGCATGGGTCCTTCCCGGCCAAGGCTGCTGACCCGGGCCTGTCCACGTGAACCTGACTTCCTTCCCAATCCGGCTGTGTCTGGCTCCAGGGCCAGTTCTCGCTGAGTAGATGAGGTCTCGGGCGGGCCCACAGCTGACCGCCAAATGGGGAAAGGATGTAGACTGAGGCAGAGGAGAGGGGTTTGCAACCCTTCTCCAATTTCCATCCCATGAGACCCTCAAACTAGCTCAGAGCTGGGGAAAGGACAGTGATAGTGGCCATCCTCTGGGTCAGGCCTGCCCTGCCTACCTCCCCCTCTAGAGATGGGGAATGGAGAGGCTATCAGGGGGCAGCAGGCACACCTGCACATGGCACTGCCTGAGCAGCAGGTGAGGACTCTCCCCAGAGGTCAGCTGAGCTCCAACCTGGGGCTGTGGACTAATCAGGACTTCTTATAGTTTCCCAAGATCGGTAGGGTTTGGAGGTGGCCAGAGGTCACTTACAGCCCCAGGGCCTGACCTCACTGGCTGCTGACAGGACCTGGGAAGTAGCCCAAACTGCTTTGATGAGACTATTCCTCTTGTCAAGAGTGGAGTGATCCGGTCCAGGGCAAAGGCGTTGGGCGCCCTTGGCTAGGAGTCAGAGACACACAGCGCTTCCACCGCATCACTCAGACCCTGATTGACGCCCCCCACGGCCAGGAGGCAGGTCTTGATGACGATGCTGGAGCAGGCACAGCGGGGCGTGGGCATGGCGGGGAGGACCTCCCACTTGTTCTTGCCTGGATGGAATGCCTCTGCCGTCTCCAGGACAGTGGGCTGGTTCCCTAAAAGGGCCGAGGGAACTGGACCTTACAAAGGAGTCCAGCCACCAGTCCATGCCCCACCGCCACCCCACCTCCCTCTGGAACCCACAAGCAGAAGCTAAGCAACATCACCTTCCTTGGCTGCATAATTGCTCCTTCTCTACCCTGGGCCAGTAGATTTGGGGCCAAAAGACAGCCACTTTGCCCCACTGACTGTCTCTGTCTTTTTATCTCAAGACTAAGCTTTCTTTCTTCACCCCCTGATTTACAGAAGTTTCTAGACACTACTGCCTCTCTTCTGCCTTTTACTAAAAAGCTGCCCACATGGCCTAGCTCCCGTCAAGTTCCTTGCATGCATGGGTAAAGTGGGAGGGAGTCTGCCCACACTGAGTGAACTCTGGGTGCCTGCAAGCCCTTCTGTCCATCTCTCTCGCCTCTTCATGTTGGGGTCCCACCTTCAAGACACCACTAATCTCTGGGAGGGGTGATACAGCAAATCCTGAATTCATTACAATAATTTATTCAATCAGATTGCTTTCCTATTCCATGATGGACCTGGGTATCCAGGGAGAAGAGACGGCAGAGAAAGAGGACCAAGCTGATCCCCACCACACTTAGGTCTCCAGTCATTCCTGGATAGGCCCCAGGGATCCACGCTCAGCAAGCTTGTGTTACGTAGTTAGCAGCATGTCCCTCATGCTTTCTGGGCCTCAGTTTCCCCTGTATAAGAGGACAGAAAGACCACATGGGGGGCCCACACGTGGACACATGAAGTCCAGGCTGGAAGGAAGGGAGTGTTTTGAATTTTTTGGAATAAAGTGGTAAATCAGGCAGGCTGTGTCCAAGGAGCCAGTACCTTCTCTTGCCCATGCAGAGTGCCAAGGGTCCCCCAAGCACCAGAAGCACAGTACCAACCTGTGAAGCTCATTCCTTACCGAGTCCTCCAGCCACTATGACCCGTCCACTCAGGGAGCCGGCCACAAAGTCTGCCCGCCGCTTCTTGAGGAAGAACGAGCGCTCCATCTTTAGCCATCCCCCTACAGGCCATGGATGACAGCAGGGTAGAGGGAGAGAATTAGGTGCCGGCCACGCCTACCAAATACACACGAAAACATGCACCAGATAGCACTGGCCCCGGCCAGCTGGTCCACTCCACCTACCGTGTGTGCTCAGAGCATATCCTACGCCTCCTGCTGTTTGGAAGAATACTGTCCATGGCCTCCACCCTCTCCCACTCTTGCTACAGTCCAGGCAACGTCAATGCCCGACAATGCATCACCCCGGTTCTTCCTCTGTTCCCACAGGCTCTAAGCCAGAGAGGAAGTTAACTAGAGGCAGTGAGCGTAGGAGTCAGGATCCTCCTGTTTCTGCACCAGAAAAAAGCCGGAAAAAGCTTCCCCAACCCTCACCTGGATCTACGTGGATGTTGTAAGAAGAGACAAAAGGTTTTGATATAAATAACCAACCAATCAAAACGAGCTTTGCCTGGATGAAAGATTTTGATCGCCAAAGTAGTCCTGGGTGAAGAACAGTGTTCAGACCTCTGTCACCCTGCTGGGGGATGGATGGGATGAGGGTAACGTAGGGGGAATGGGCCCCAGGGAGATGGGCAGCCAGGGGCTGGTGGGCAGCCAGCGGCTGGCGCCCAGCTCACCCTGTTCTGTGTCGAACACGTCCATGCTCCGGAGGAACTTGGGCTGCCGGTAGAGCCGCCCCTGCCGCAGTCCTCCCAGGCTGTACAAGCGGTCATCCAGGGTCACAAAGCTGGAGAAGGCCCGCTTACAGGGAATGCTGGGGAACTTGGTCCAGGAGCGAGTCTCGATGTCAAAGACCTCGAAGGCATTGACCGCATACTTGGACTGTCGTCCCCCTGAGCAGGGTGGGGCAGGGGGTGGGATTGGGCAGAAGAGTAAGTCCCCAAGGACAGGGCCTGGGTTTCCTCTTGCTACCCAATCACACAGGGAGCCCCCTGAGGGGTAGGGCAGTGTGAATACCCCTGAGTAGCAAGGAGATGCTAAGCACACAGGCACTGCTTCCTGTGGGAACTGACCCAAGGGAGCACGGGAGGGACAGATGTGGGACACATAACCTGTCCTTACCCAGCACGTAGATCTTGGAGCCTCGGAGGAAAGAGGTGGCAGCGTATCTCGGGGTGGGCATGGGTGCTAGTGACACCCACATGTCCTTGAGCATGTCATAGTGTTGGAGGTGGTTGTGGGGGCGGAGGTCCAGGCCCATCCCGCCTGCTGCGTACACTCGGTAATCTAAGGAGAAAGGCCACGCACAGCCCCTGGCTCAGCAACCAGACCCTAAGAGGCCGGCCCACACTTGTCGCCTACCATGGTCAGGTTCTGTGAACACCTTGAATGGCAGCACTGAGGCCCAGGCCAGTTTCCTGACCACGGTTCTGCCAGGGTGGGGCTGATGGATCATTGAAAGTCGCTGTCACCGTTGAGTCCAGGTCTTCCTGAAGCCAGCGCAGGCCTGCATGCCTTAGCCTTCCTTGGTGTCCAGCCTTTGGCTAAACCTGGAACACCAGGCCTTACACAGGGGTCGACCATGGTGCTGTCTAGGCCTGGAAGCCCTCCTCAGGCCGTGTCCCCTCCCTTCTTCTCCCTCCTGGGCAGCCAGAGGGGATGCCAAAGAGGACTGTTCCCCTGAGGCCCTCCAGCAGTGGCCTGTTCCTCAGGCACTCCCAGAATGGAACTCTCTAGACCCAGCAGCAGCCTTCAGAAATGAGGCCGGCCTTGCAGGACACTGGCCTGCTGCTGGTTCTTTCTGTGTCTGTCACCCGCATGCGGGAATGCCATCTTCCTTCACACACTGGGAGGCTTGTGGGCTGCAGGGGACATCCTACACTAAACCAGCTTAGGCTAGGGGTACATGAGGGTGATGCTCTGGGGAGAAAACTGGCTCCTTTAAGAAATCCTGCCTGGGCAGTGAGCTGGGCACTCTGAGGAGTGAGTCCTCTCCCATTTTCTACTGCTCTTGGCTGTAGGCAGCCTTTCCAGGCACTTGCCTGACACACTGCATCAGAGAACCTGGGGAAGGTGTCCGTGTTTCCCTGGGTCTCACCCCAGCACCTCCTTGTCAGGGACCCAGTTCCCCTCCCCAGTAGGCAGACTTCACTGCTTCCGGCTCTAAGAGGCTTTCTCTCTCAAAGGTATTACAGGGATGAGCATTATTTTCTCCTGCTTTTTAATCTTAATGAAAAATTACCAAAAAAACCCCAACCCTAGCCTGAGGTCAGGGGATGGGGCCTGCTAATGGGGACTTTCCCTTTCATAAGCTCAGCCTCTCCCATCCCTGTCACCTGAAACACACCTCCAGCTGAGAAGCCTCCATCCACTCCACACCACCCATCTTGTACCCAAATCTTACCCATCCTTCAGATTCCCCTGGGTGTCCCTGAACTGCAAGGCTGAGCTGAGAGTACCAGCTCCGTGTCTCCCATGGCATCTGCTCCGCCCCATTCACCATCACTGTTAAAATAATCTTTGTTTCTCCCAATACATGGTTAGAGAACTTGTTTATCTATGGCCCCAGCACGTGGCACAATGCCTGATGCACAGGCATGTAAACGTTTGTTAAACTAACTGTTGAACCCATTCAGTGTCATAGTTAAGAGCATAGCCTCCATCAACACTAGCTGGTTAACCTTGGGCAAGGTATTTAACCTCTTTGGGCCCATTACTTTTCTCTAAAATGAGGATGATAATAGCATTTACCTCATTGTGTTGGTTGGGAGGATCCAAGGGGCTAATATGAATAAAGCACTTACTGTGAGGACTCAGTAAATGTTAGTTGTTAGTCTTTCAGCACCACTACTGAGGCCTGGGGATACAGGAGTGCCTTTGCCCTCTTTATCTCCAAAGGCTTCCATGCCTTCCGTCCTTCTTACTAAGAATTCATGGAGGCCCCACTGGCCACTCTGCCCTGAGGGATTCCAGGTTAGAGTTTCTCCCTGGTCACCTTCATTGGTTAGATCCTGGCTCCTGAAGGCAGGGACCAGATCTTCTGCCTCTTTGCTTTCTCCTTGGGACCTAGAGACAGAACAGAGCAGGTGCTCACGAAGTAGTGGTTCCTGATATATAGTAGACCCAACAGGCTGCTGGGATGGTTTTGCAAGAGTGGGAGGGAAGCTTGCATCCCACTAAAGCTGTTTAATTCTCACTTGGGGTCTCCTAATTCCTACTGGACCATTTCCCATAAAACCCTTTGTGTTTTAGCAAAAGAACATTTGGAGTCCCCTCTGTACTCTGGGCTGTACCAGGCCCAAAGAGAAGGAAATTCGGGGCTTTGAGAGAGTGAAATGAGAATCATAAAACTGTGTGGTCAGCACATGCATGCCCTGAGAACTTAGTGAGTCTGGGCAAGATGCTGCAGGAGCACAACCTTCAGAAACATTCTGGCCTCTGTTCAGGGTGCCTCTGAGATTAGAAGGCAGAGGGGGAGGTTGAGGGTGGGCAGAAGGCCCTGGCATCAGGTCCCAAAGCTCGACCAGTGGGCCCTGATGATGGTACAAGGATGGAGTGAACATCCCCAGGACCCCACATATGTGCCTGGAGGTGGTCACACCTACAGGGCAGGTTTCAGGCCATGGGGTATTGCAGGTGGGAGGTTGCATCCTTCTGCTGAATGGAGGGTCTGCAGAGACATTGCTCTAAATCTCGGGCTCTCCCCTCTGGACCCACCTGTCCAGCCTGCTGGGAGGGGACTGATGGAGTGGAGCTCTGGCAGTACATAGCACTGCTAGACACTTCACCTACTGAGTCTGTTTTCCATCTGTAAAATAAGGCCTGTGGATCTCTAGTTTTGGCATCTATTGTAAGGATCGGATGGGATCCTGAATGTGGGCCCCAACTCAGTGTTGTCCCCCACCCCTTTCCCCATGGTCCCCCACTCCCTTCTCTCCCGTCCTCAGCCCTAGACCCACTCGCCTTTGGCCGTGACAGAAATGCCCATGGCAGCCTCACGCAGCACGCTCCTCTTCTTCCACTTGCCCTCATCGATGCTGTACATCTCCACGACCTTCAGGGGCAGCTGATTGGTGCCCACACCGCCGATCACCATGATCCGCTTGCCCAGGGCGGTGACGGCCACCCCGGCCCGAGCTGTGGGCAGGGGGGGCAGGGCAGTCCACTGGTCGGCCTCGGGGGAATACACCTCGAAGCAGTCCATGGGGACACCGTTGTCGTCACATCCCCCGATGGCATAGACCTGCCCCCCGGTCTCCAGCAGGGAGCAATAGACCCGGCGGCTGGGCAGTGGCGCCAGGCGCTTCCACTGGAAGTCCTTGACGTTTGGCACCTCCATGGCAGGGCCGGGGGCCCCACCCCACGCGGCCCCGCGCCCGCGGAGCGCCAGGGCGCCGGGGGAGGTGCTAGTCCGGGGGTCCGCCGGCTAATCCGCGCCCCCTCGCGCCGCCTCCATCGCGCTCGGGTCCGCCGGCTCCCAGCCGACACCGAGCACGGACCCCGACGCCGGCCGGCGCCTCACTGTCCCTCCAGGCTCAGCGGTCCGGCGGCGTCCACGCACGGCCCTGCGCAAGGAGCGGGGCGAATCAAGGGCAGTCGAGGCCACGCGCCCTCGCGTCCCCGCGCGGGCGGGCTCCCAGCCCCCCGCCAACTTTAAAAGGAAGACGCGGCGGACGCGGCGCCACCGCGCGGCGGCATCCCGCTCCGCACCGCTTTGTCCCCAGCCCAGCCCCGCGGGCTTCTCGGGGTCCGGGCGCCGGGCTACCTCCCCGCGTAGCAAAGAGTTACCATCTTTGGGGGCCGACGCCTCTCGCCCCCCAGCACCCCCTCCCCGCGACCTCGCCCCCGCGCCACTCACGCAGCCAGGCCGGAGCAGCGCGGCGCTGGGCGCAGACAACGCATTCCCCGAGAGCGGGGCCCCCCACGCGGCGGGGAGCAGAGGAGAGGGCCCTCTGTCCTTCCCGAGGCGGCCCTCCGCGGTCAGACATGCAGACGAGGAGGATGAATGAGCAGCAGGAAGGAAAAGCCGAGCCGCCCGCAGGGAGGAGGCGGGCGGGCCCGCTCCGCGCACGGCCCCACCCGCAGTCGCCGCACCTGTGCAGGAATCCGCGTGCGTCCGGCGGCGGAGCAAGCGGCGACCTCTTTACATAAGCCCTGGCAGCGCCCGGCCCGCGGGCCCCGGCGGAGACGCTCACCGTGTCTACAGGGTCAGGGAAAGGGGGGCACTACAGCCAAGTACCCAGATGACAGGGACCAGACTCCCTCCAGCGTGGGGGAGGGCGGTTTGTGAGTGTTTGTTTTGGATGAGGAGGCGGAGAGTCCAATTACCCAGTTTATCTACAGTACACAGACCCAGTTCGTGACAGGCTGTCTCAATAGCTTTGCTGTGGGGGAGGTATTATAAAATGGCTTAACCTAATAGAAACAAGCTATGTGGGTGTGACACACGCAGACCTGTCACGGGGGGGTGGGGCAGGGATCCAAACATAACATATGCAGACCCGCACGCATAGGCGTGACTTACACGTGACCTGACTCCCGGCCCACCTTCCCTCTCCCCCCCCCACCGGCCCTGGAAATAGATACATTCACTGAGGAACTGACAAGTGCACAGATATGTGGACACATAACCAGAGACTCCCACACAGATTGACATACAGGTGGTCTTTCCCTCCTCCACCCCTGCTTCACACACCTTGGGAAGGGAAAACCTAGTTATTCAATCTTGGCCCTCCACATCAGCTCATAGCACTTGCCAAATAATTATTCCAAGCCATTCTCCAATAGCCTTTTCAGGACAGTAGTCCCCAGTAACAAAGCTGCCCATGACACGGGTGGGCCACCTTGTCTGATGGACTGCAGGCCTATGGGGGCCTCCTACCTAGTTCCCTTGACTATAGCCAAGTCTTGAAACACTCAGGTGTGGGAGTTGGACAGACCTGAGTGTGAATTCTGGCTCTGAAATCATTTAACTACTCTGAGCCTAAATTTTCTTCTATTATTTTAGTTAACCTTTTTATTTTGAGATAAATTGTGGATTCACATGCAGTTGTTAAGAAAAAACACCTTTCACCCAGTTTCCCTCGATAGTAACATCTTACAACACTTTTGGCCCAGTAATATCACAACGGGGATATGGAAATTGATGAGAGAAGAACATTACCAGTCCCCCTCTCCCTGCCTCCCTGCAGCGTAATCCAGTGGCGGTTCATCGAGTTGTTCCGCATGTCAGTGGTTCACTCCTTTTCATTTCTGAGTAGCATTCTGTAGTATGGATACATCCTTGCAGGTTTTCGTGAAGATTACATGAAATAGTATTTGTAAAGTGCTCAGCTCAGCTTCTGACACATAGCAAGGGCCTGGGAAATTACTGTTAACACCATTACTACTGTCAGCAAAACTAAGAAACGGGAGGGCTGAGAACAAGCATAAGCATAAACATTTTGCCCCTCACAACCCGAGATAGGCTCATCCTGGGAGCTTGAGTTCTTGGCTTAGAAAGTCCACTGTTTTTAGCTGAGTTCTCTGTACTTACAAAGTGAGCACCTTTAGGAACCTTCACAGAGGAAGACTGTGTTCTGTTTTCTGTGTTTGGCAAGAACTCATAAATTCCGAAGGAATGTGGTCTGAATTAATGAAGCTTCATGGGCAACATCAAACATTTCTCTTTTCCCAGGGATCGCAGTCTGACCAGAGACTCCACTTGAACCACACTCACAAAATCAGCACGGGGTGATCAGGAAGACTGAAAGTCATCGACCCTCCTCAAAGGGACGTGCTGGGGTCCTCTTCAGCCCCCTTTGCCTGCAGAGCCTTCTACCAGAGCAGTGAGGCCAGGCTTCTTGTGCCCCTACCCACCCAGCTGGGTGGCTTGATGAGCAGATATACAGAGTTCCTACTACTTTATGTTTGCCTAACTCACTGACTAAACTAAGCCCTTGTACATCCATTTTCTTATTATCTTAAAACAACCCTGGGAAAGGTTGCCAGGGCAGGTGTCAGTATCCACTTTTAGAGATGAAGAATCTGGGACTCAGAGAAATGAAGTAACTGACTTACGATCATGTGATCTGTTCAGCGTGGATCTAGTTTGTGAATTCCACACCCAATGCTTTTTCACTTTATCACACTGAAATCACAAATGAAAGAACTGTGCCTTATGAAGGGCATCAGGCTTTTCCACTCTCACCTGGCTTCTGTTTTTTTGTCCTGTTACAGTGAAGGAAGGAGCCCCGACCCCCAGAGGGCTCCAGTGACTGCCCCTCTCCCCGCTGCCATCCTGTCTGTGCCAGGCAGTGTAACTGGGAAAGGACTGAAATCCAGACCCAGAATAGCCCCCATTCTAACGTAATGTTTGTGTCGCACAAGCACCAGCCTCTGAGAACCATGGGATGTAGGGACTCAGACCCCTGGAACAGTCCTAGGGACAGGATGGCCTTCCAGACCATGGCCTAATTGCTCGTTCTGCAAGTCCTGGCTTCTCTCCATCTCCCGACTCCTTCCCTCCTCCCTCTTCCTCCCAGCCAGGTGACATCCTTTAGTCCTTTCACCAAGTACACTTGGAGAAAGCCTGTAACCTAGCAACCACCACTTAAGATTTCCTGAGTCACCTGTGGTTTCCATGCCTGGGGCCAAGCTCGTCAGGCTAGGGCCTTAAGGAGTACCAAGCTGAGGCAGGGGAGACCAGAGACCCTCTGATCCCTCACCACCCCTTCCAGTGCATAGCTACTTTTCCTGTTCCTCCTCAGGTCAAACCTAAATCCTTCTTGCTCTAAGACCTTGTATTGCATCTGGCCTGGGTTTTTCTTCTCTCTTAAAAAGTTTTTGACTTTTTGCCTTGGTTGCAAGGCGGCACTGGGAGAGTGGGGAAGCGGGGGAAGGAAAGTTCATGAAAGTCTCTAAAGATAAAGCCTTCGGTACCAGGTAGTCTTTATTACTGATAACACAATCAAACTTGTGAAGGGGAGCTCAGCCAGAGAAACAGATCCTTCCTAGTAAACTAGGCAGGTTCCCAGTGGGGCAGACTGTGGATGGAGGCGTTGTGGGTAGGGTTTCCAGGGACTGGTAGAATTCCAAGTGCAGGGTGTATTTTGGGAGATAGGGGAGGGACGGGCATTTGGTGATTGGGTGCTGTAGCTCCTCCTTCAGAAATGTGATTTACCTCCTGGCAGTGGGTACCACCGGAGCGCCCTCTGTGGGCTGTGCTGGCTGGGGGAACACAACAGAATGTGATCCCTTTATCACAAGATGCCTTTCATTTTTCACTTAGGGGAGGTATCACCTCCCCTGGGAGATGCTGGAAATAGGAGAGACACAGGGCTGAGGGTGAGGAGCCCTCTGTCCCAGCTCATGGGATCACCTTCTCTGTGCGGTTTCCTTACTTCAGTGCCCACAGATCATGGGGTAGTGGGCAAGTGTGTGGGCTCTGAGATGGGCCTGAATCCTGGTTCGGCCGCCCCACTTGCTGTGTGACCATGAGCGAGTCACTTACACCCTTAGTCTCAGTTCCTTGTCTGTGAAAGGGAGTAAGAAAACCTACTTTCTAGAGTTATGGGGCTAACAAGATGCCAGGCATAGTTCCTGGGCATGTAGTAGGTACTCTGTACAGGGTAATCTTCTTTCCTTACTTTGTGATGGCAAGTTTCCATACCTCTGACTTCAGGGGTGTTTAAGCCAGTGTGTCCAAGGCGCAGGTGTCAACTTCATCAGACGGGCACCTCACCAGGGCACACAGCCTCCTGTACCCAACCACCAATCAGCCTGTATATGGGGCAGGCTATCTTTCTTCCTAGCTGTCTGAAATCCCTTCCACGCTGCCTCAACGGGCACTCTACTCTGGACAACAGCTGGGGCCCTTCCTTTATTCTTCATCAGAATCTAGGGTGTATTCAAGGGGTGGGGAATGAGGATGACTCATCCAATTAAGACTGAGGCTGCCAGCAGACCTAGGCAAGAGTGGATTCCTCCCCCACCACAGAAAAGCCTCATTAGGGCCTCTTCCTGCCCATTTCCAACATCAGCCCAGAGGAAGGACTTAGGGCTCAAGTGAGCTTGATTTGAGATGGTGTGACGCAGGTGGCAGCAGTCAGAACCGTAAGTTCCACCTGTTCATGTGGACTGACTGCCACTCCAAGGGTCCCGCAAAATGGCCTCAGACATTGTCCCCTGGTCCCCCTGCTGCTGACCATGCAGCCTTGATCAGAGGGTTGAGTCAGCCACATTCTTTTCACTACCTGCCCTGCTCCCTCCTTCTCCTGAGCATAGTCCAGCACGTGGAGGCTAGAGGGATGGGTATCAAAGGATGCACCTGTCCACCTGTGAGCACCTTTACGCCTATTCAGGTAAAACTGGGATGTTGGAAAGCGGATTTCAGGTAAGGGCTGGAGGCTAGAGGGAGGGGTCATCTTGGTTTTCAGACTCAGGAGCTGCACGATTTTGGTAAGAAAGAGTTGGGAACTGTGAACTCTTTTGCTGTTTAATAAGGTGATCACGACAGCAGGAAGGGAAACCTCTGAAAGACCTCGGCCACTTCCCCATGTTTATTGAGGAAATTATAAGAGGAACA